ATACAGTGAGTTTATCTTAGACTGGAACATACGATTATGCATACAATGCTATTTCCCTATGTTCCATTTTAAAAAAAACGCATCAACCTGAAGGAGTAGTTCAAATGGGTAGTAGGCGCAATGTACTACTGTCACCTTTAAATCTACCGCCCTGCAATAAATTCAAAAATGCTGCCTAAAGAAATGAAAATTGCAATTATAAATTTATACAAAGGCCTAAACAGTACAAGACAAGTCCGCGATTTACTTGCAGTCCAGTATCCTGACGAACAAATACCATCCATTTCAACGATCCACAGAGTTATAGCAAAATTTGATAGGGATGGCTGTGTTGCAAATCTTCACACAAAAAAGGCAAAAATTAACCATGTCCTTAATGAAGAATTGGAATTAGAAATTTTGTGCTATGCTGAAGAAAACCCAACAGCATCACTAAGTTTAATGGCCAAGGAATTTGAAATTTCTAGAACTTCCGTGTTTAAAACGCTAAAGAAATTTAAATACAAGTCGTACAAATTTCAAAATCACCAACAACTGTTTGATGATGATAAAATAAAACGCACAGACTTTTGCGAAACAATATTTAATTTGTTAAACAATAATGAGGAAATATTGCACAAAATAATGTTTACAGATGAAGCATCTTTTTCTCTGAACGGTACAGTAAATTCTCAAAACTATCGGTAGGTACCTATCTCCATATTAAATCTTACTGATACCGTTTTCTTCATTAGATATTGGTCACAAACTAATAATCATGTACACAACATAACGCATACGCAATATAATATTAAAATTAACGTTTGGGCCGGGATAATAAACAATATTCTAATCGGACCGTTCTTCATCGATGGAACTCTAAATTCAACAAAGTTTCTCGAATTACTTAGATCGCGCATTATTCCACGGTTACAGGAGTTGAATATAAACAACCCATGGTTTCAAATGGACGGGGCTCCACCACATTCTACGAGACCAGTGACAAGTTTCCTCAATGAAACATTCCCGGGCCGTTGGATCGGTAGATTTGGTCCAATATCTTGGCCAGCACGATCTCCCGATCTGTCGCCAAATGACTTTTTCCTTTGGGGATATCTAAAATCGAAAATTTATAATCATGTTCCCATTCAGAATGTGCAAGAGTTACAAACCCGAATACTAACAGCATGTGATCAAATGAATCCTACGTTTTTACGAAATAGTATTCAGGAATTTCGCAATCGGTTAGGGTACTGCTTGGAATGTGAAGGAGGGCACTTTGAACATTTGTTATAACTTATAATTAAATTCATTTTATTTATTATTAAACAATTTTTCTTCGACTTTCGACCGTACACGTACATAACCTAAAAATAAAGGCTGGTTCAAATGTGACTCGCAAATTTCTAATACGTTTGTTTTAGTTGTGAACCGCGCATATCCTTCAGGTTGATGCGTTTTTTTTAAAATGGAACATAGGGAAATAACATTGCATGCAAAATCGTATGTTCCAATCTAAGATAAACGCACTGTATATAACACCAGAATATACAAGGTGTCCCAACTAAAATTTATACTCCCAAAAATCTTAATCTCAATCTTAATATGGAAATCAACATTTGACGTATTTCTTTGGTTAATAAGTAAATTTCAGTTGGGACACCCTGTATAACAAAACTCACCAAATGTATCATAACGCCATTTCCGCTTGGCTCAACTTTGGCATCGATAATGCCTTCCTGCGCTAACTTTTGCAGAAACTCAGTCACATTTACCAAACCCCATTCGTAATGTGTCCCCTTTTGTAATTTATTCTCGCCCCCTGCGTCAAAACTCTACAAGAAATTACCAATTTCAAAATACGAGAGAATGGCAACTACCGTCATGTTATGCACGTTGTCTTTAATGGTGAGTGCTCCGCTCAAAGCAGATAGGCTGATACCCGTTTTGACTTCAATCGGATTGATCTTCTGCGCCACCTCGGTCTCCATAATAATTTGCCCCTGTTTTCGTTTCAGCGGTAGGTTGATCACTTCGCCCCACTTGTACGGTATAAGGGTCCTATCGGAGTTGTTCTCGATCACCAGTTCCGTTAGCGTCGGCGCCGACACGGGCGGCTGCGTGTAGCACTCGGGCACGACCAAGGTCGTCGGCTTGAGGTCCTTGATTAACTTGTTCGCCTGGGTGAAGTTGAGGGAGGTGTCGATCGCGCAATGGGCGACCTTCATTTGGATAGGTTGGAAGGGCGCAAGCGCCTCGATGTAATCGAAGTCGGGTTCTGTGCGCTCATTTTTAGTGACATCTCAACGATTAATCGGCACGCTTACCTGTGAAGACGATGCAATTGCGTGGATTGTTTCCCCATAATTCGATGAATTGGACAACGTCGCCGAAGCGTAGACTCGGATGACCGCAAAAAACTACACAAGGCTAAAAAGAAAATTCCGAGTGAAGATCTATAGTCCGTCTAACCTGGACTTTACAGTACAGGGAACATAGTACCTAGGGCACTGCAATCCTTATGGAAGTTTTTAGAGCGGCGATGCCGATTTTAATTTGAATTCTAATTATCATTTTGGCGAAATGTAGAAATAATCTATAAAATTTAAAAAAATTGGCAACGGCCGGGAATCGAACCCAGGCCGCCCGTTTTCTACAAATCTCTAATGACATTTGGCATCGCTGTTGACCTGTACTGTAGTCAAGGTGAGACAGACTATAGATACATTTTTTTTAATACTTTGAAGAGTGGTATACAGCGTGGTAATTTTGCCTGGAACACTGAATATACAGTGTGTCCCCGGATGGACTGAACAAGAGGGAAACAAATTTTTAATTTTAACTTTACGCAAAAATGTCATTCTTTTTCTTAAGCTCTAAGGTGTCTTTTTTAACTTGATTTGCTTATCAGGTTGCCATGGAAGATTCAATGATAGTTTGATTTAATCAAAAACATGCAACTTAGAAAAATTTCCGCCGTAGATTTTGCGTTTTTTGTAATTTTCTCAGCTGCTAAAAGGAATATCTAGATTTTTATTTCAGAATAGGTGGTTTTGAGGCAAGCAAAAATTTTTATAAAGAATGACATTTTTGCGTAAAGTTAAAATTAAAAATTGTTTCCCTCTTATTTATCTGTACAAAAAATAAGATTAAGAATAATTAGAAAAAACAAAATCAAAATAAAATATAAAACTCGGTGAACACAAATATTCAAAAATTTCGGAAACATCGCACCATAAAATCAAAAAATCTAGAATAATTCGCAAAATTCGGAAAAATAGATACACAAAAACGAATTCATAAAGATTGAGGAGAAAAATGATGTCAGTAGTATTGAAAAAATTCTTTTTTCAAATTTTGTTCGAAGAAATTTGATATCTGTGCAAAAATAAAATTAAAAAAAATTGAAATATATAATAAAACATGAAACTCAGTGATCATAAACATTCAAACATTTCAGAAAAATTCCAAAATAAAATCTAAAAATCTAAAACAATTCGCAATATTCGGAAAAACAAGCAAAAGGGAAGATGCATAAACATTTAAAAACATGAGGTAAGAAATGTTATTTCCCCGAGGAAGAAATGCGGTACCTGTTCACAAAAATAAAATTCAGATAAAAAAAATCAATAAAAAATAAAGTTCAGTGAACACATTCAAAAATTTCAGAAAAAGTCCAACATCAAATCAGAAAATATAGAGCAATTCGCAAAATTCGGAAAAATATCCAAAAACGAAGATAATTAAAAATTGCTAAAATTGAGAAAAACGAGGTTGTTAATAAATTTTAAAAATTTTGATATTTAAAAGAGAAAGTAATTATTCATATTTTCACAAGTTTTGTTTCCTTGCAGAAGAAATTCGGTCCCTGCATAAAAAAATAAAATTAATAATAATAATAATAAAATAAAACTCAGTCAATACAAACACCACATCAACATATAATCAGAAAATCTAGAGCAATTCGCAAAAATTCGAAAAAAATACCCAAAAACAAAGATAGTTATAAATTCCAAAATTAAGAAAAATGACCTTGGAGTTGTGTTAGTAACATTTAAAAATTTTGATCTCACCAAATAATTCTTTCTACATATTTACAAATTTTCTTTCCTTAGGCTTCTTCGATGTCTGTACAACAAAAATTTAAAAAAATTGGAAAAATAAAAATCAAAATAAACCCAGTAGAACAAACATTCAAGAAAAAACATAAACATAAAATCAAGAACAATTCGCAATATGCAACAACGAAGATAATTAAAAAATTCATTAACTTTGAGAAAAATGAGGTTAAGAGTACAGATGTTAGTAATGTTTAAAAGTTTCCATATTTCACGAAAAATTGGTAACACCATTTTCAACCGCTGGCCGATAGTAAAAAAACCCCTCGAAAAAACCATTCATCAGTTTTGTAACCGTTCCCGTGGGGATATTTAAATTATTATTGGAGCATCTGAAAGCTCTCGTCATTTATAATTTTCTGAATTCCGTTCCGATTATTAATTAATTAATTTATTTATTTATTTATTATCCCTCTCTTGTTCTGGGCCCTCAACAGGCTTGCGATTGTAGTTTCACAATGCTAATTTAAAACCAGGATTAAGTAAGCAAGGCAATGCAACATACGTAGATAACGCAGGCCTATGCCTGGCCCGAAAATTCCAATTACCAATGGGTGGACTACCGAATTTTGAAATTAGAACACAGCATAATTACCGATAGGTAACCAATTAGATGTGTTGCAGCAAACCTCGCCTGATTTGGTTGACCTTAGTGTCCTTGGAAGCGCGCTAATTTATCAAGATATTTGACCCGTTTTCCAAAATTTTTAGGACATTAAAAAAGTTGTAATTTTTGACCGCTTTCATACTAGTTCGCTGGGCGAGCCCGGTTTTCTAGCCTTTCCTTTCCGCGTTTCGAGAATTTTACAAAGGTAGAGAGTGGTTTAAAGGGGATCATTTGATATTTCTGCATTTTGCAGTGTGCATTTAGGCCATATTTAATCTTTATCTACCGTACCGTTTGATTTTCAAGGTAGATATGACATTTTTCATTCTGTTAATTATGGGGGGGGAATATGTTTTCTTTTGTTTTTACTGGTAAGGGTGTTTTCATATAATCGCTAAATTTATCTGACAGTTAATTTACTTACCTCCTGAAAATCTGTACTGAAACCTTCGGAATAGATATGCTTAAAATGTTTCAGTTTGGAATTCTTCAGCAGCAATGCGTGAGGAAATGGCTCGTCGGGTACATAGACCCGATTTTGTTTGGCCGACGACAGCCACTCGGCCAAAATGTTCGAATACGCGAGCGACATATCGGCAACGGGCGAAATAAAAAACATCGGGCAATTTTGCACTCCCAAATCTTGCATTTTGATCGACAGACACTCGAACAAATCATAAATCACACCAGACGGATAGCACGGTATTAACGCGTTACCTCCACCCCTCAAAGTGAGACCTAAGCATTGAATTTAGTGACATCAGGTAGCCGAACCGGAACTTACTGACGACCACGCAGAGCAGTCCGAGCATCGAGTCCGGGTTACTAATGGGAGTTTGTGTTAGATCTGTCATAATTAACACATCCGCATTTTTTAGCGCGTGATGATCCATAGGTCTCGGATGGGTCGTTAGTGTGCTGGATCCGCTGAGGTAGACGACTTTTTCGTGATCCGACGTGATTATCCAATTACTGGAGCCCAAATTGTAGCCGGAACTGGTGGGCAAAACTTGCAATGCGCCGTAGATGTCCTGGTGAATCATAATATTAGACAAAGCTCTCTTAGATACGACTTACAATTTTCTCGTTGTACCCCACCATTTGAATACGCGAGAGACTTTCGTTGACGTTTGCCATGTTGTAAATCTGCCTCCACGATTTCGGCTTAAACGACTCGTTTAAAGGATAGGGAAGTTTGTGAACAATATTTTTCCACTGTGATGCAAAGTTAGCCTTGGGACATTGCTCGATGTGCGTCACCAATTCTTCTAACAGTAGCCTACAAAGACAATGTTGAGGTTCTGGAAATTTTGGATTGCTCTTTTCTTTGAGAATACGTAAAAATATTTTATAAAGTATCATTTAAAAAGCTCCATTTAACAATAATGCCAACTTCAGAATAGGTAAACAAAGCTTGAGTGTTTCTTACCGCCCAATTTGCAAGGTGGGCTCAGTGGCATACACCTTCCCTTGAAAACCGGTACCTTCCGTTATAAAAGGTAAAGCCATCATGCAGAGGTAATTCGAAATCAGGATAACGTCAACTTGGGCAAAATCGATTAGCTTGTCTAACGGCGGACAAAATTCCGGAAGCGAATCGATAAATATACGGTCCCCATTCTCCCGTAGCTCCTAAAATGCGCGTTTTACAATTGCGTTGGAATCAAATTAACGTACCCCCTCGACGTCAGTATCACCACCGTCGTTTGGCATCCATACGGGTAGATTGTGTAAGCGATTTGAGTAGACGTAGGATAAAGGTAAAAAATTCAATACAGATTGCATGGACAAGCCGCAGTCGAGCATCAAAGTGATTTCTCGGAATGTTAAGATGTGGCATGGTTTGTTCGGATCGTTGCTTAAGCAGTACTGAAAAGGTATGTTTAGATGGATTTTTGATGTTAAATATGGAGTAAATTACCAGCTTCATTGCGTATTTAATTATAATTGCTTTGTTTATTTACATGCTATAAACACCGAAAACAATGAGGTTATGTTAGAATTGTGCTTCATGTACAGGGTAATCAATACTATAGGATGTTTCGTAGAAATCTAAGGATTAGTGATGAAACTGCAATTGCGAAGAACGTGTAGTTTTTTTTTAAATATGGCTACTATATAATTGATGTTGAATCTGTTCGCTAAAGAAAATATTCAAAATGTCATAGGAATAGCTATAGAAAATGACTATTGAACGTAAATAACTATCTAAATAAGTTGGCCTTCGCCGACGTCTTTGGGACTGTCTAACGAAAGAGCGTTCTTGACATTCTGCCAGCTGTTGTTGTTCAGTTTCTTCTTCATAAGGACATCTGCAGATTGTTCTACTATACCTATACACCGGGAATGTAAGTAAGTAATCAATTCAAGTCAAGGTGTCCATGCGGAAGGCTGCGCGGCACTGGGGTGCAGTGTCGATAACGGTGCCCCTCAGATACCGAGTGGTAGCTCCTTCACCTCGAAAGCAAGCGGCTCTAAGAAGACATGAGATAGTATCCCAATACTCGTGGGAATTGTATGAATAAAGGGTCCGATAAAGGAGTAGCTGCTCCTCGTAAAAGGGGACGGTTCCAACAGGGGACCTTATTCAAGGATCTGGTGGTGGACCAGCTCCTATTCGCAAGAAGAGTAGGACTGGCGCACAGAAAGTGCCGACTTGAGGGTAAAACTGGGCTTTGCGCCAAAGCCTCTGCTTAAGCGGTGGCTCAGAGGGGCAACCCGACGTCAGGGACCAAGCGTACCTCTGATCGTAGGGAAGCACTCCAGTGAACCACGAACCCGAGCACGAACCGAGCAGCCTAACTGAACAGCCTTGGCTGAAGCCCCACCCACTCAAAAATAAAGACAAAATAAATAAATAAATAATAAACCCATATGGACAAGTCGCTGCGGCGGTGCTTGGGTGGTCAATTGTTCCGAAGTCACACCCAGAGGTGAATTTTTTGCGGAAAAGTATGATGTAGCTACTAAGCACGGATTCTGGCAGGGACCAATTTTTCCCGAGTGCGAACATTCTCTATAGAATAAACCCATAAAGAGCGTTTAAAAAAGCGGCAGAGCACCTCGGTGTGATCCCACGAAGTCATTGGATTTGACCCATTTTCAAATGGCTTATTACATGTGGTATATATGTTAACTGTGCAAAATTTGAACTATAACTTCAAACGATTGGCAGAGGCAGAGAGGTGTGACCCTACGAGGTCATTGGATGTGACCCATTTTCAATAGACTTGTTACATATAAGTCTACTGTGCAAAGTTATTCAACCGAATAGGTTCAAGCTTATTGGCAGGGACAGAGAAGCGTGACTCCACGGGGTCATTGGATTTGACCCATTTTCAATAGGCTTATTACATGTGGCATATAGGTCAACTGTGCAAAGTTTGAACCAAATCAGTCCAAGAGTTTGACAGTTATCGTGTTCACGGACAGACGCACACCATTGACTCCCCTATAAAGCTTGCATCGCTTTGCTCTGCCGCTTAATAAATGGACGGTGCCCATTCGCACCTTCTATGGGCACTTTTTTCGAAGAATCTGAATCTGTTATCAAAATTTCTATAGCATGCTTGATGTAGAGGCTACGGGCGTCAATCGCCATATGGGATTTTACGGAATAAGATAGAGGGCAAAAAATAAATAAATAAAATCAAATGTTTTATATTCATTTTTTAACAAAACATCCAGAGGTAACTAGATCTTGCTGAATCAACATGACTATATACATTTCAATGAATTTCTTTTTTGTCTTATATATCATTCCGTAAAAACCCAATATAGCGTGCATAAGAAATAAACAAGTAGTAACCTGTAGCTTCAACATTTAGCCTGTTATGGAAGTTCTGATAACAAATCTAGATTCTCCAAAAAATAAATAAACAAAGAAGTTAGTAGTTTCCAGCCTTTAGCCTTCTTAAGAAGGATTTTCAAAATTCCAATTGGCGGCATAAGTTTTAAAAAACCTTTTGCATTTACACTCATACTATTGCATTTTAAAACATAAATATAAAAAAAACACTATTATGGTATTTGTGCAATTTAGCATTTATTCACTTTATACCTTTGATTATAAAGTAAATCTATATTCAAAGCTTTATACATTCCAGTGTATAGTATGTCACACTTACAGATTTCGGTACTATTTAAAAACAGTAAAAAAAAATAACAACAAAGATTCCCAAATAAAGAAGGACTGCACTAACCACTTCTTTTATCTGCCAACACAAAATGTTTCTACCACTCAGGTCTTTCATTTTACCGTTAAATATATCTGACAGATAACTTCCATGGAAACAATTCACAGAGGAAGTTATCTACCAATTAAAAATATCAGAAACATGAGAGACCCCCTCTTCAATGCATTTATTAATTTTTATCAGTTTTGTGTATTAAGAGATGCTGGTTTAAACGATATTTAGTATTTGACGCATAATCACAACTCTCGCATTTAAAATCTTTAGACACATTATGCCTTAATAAGTGTGATTTAAAATTGGACTTATCATTCGTTGCATAACTACAATTGTCACACTTATAGTCTTTCGTAGGCTTGTGTATCAAGAGGTGCCGTTTTAATTTATATTTATCGTTCGTCAAGAAACCGCAGTTATCACATTTGAATATGTCCGGAAAATTATCTGCGCACTGGTGTCTCAATAAATGTCGTTTGAAACGGAATCGATCATTTGTTGCATAATTGCAGCTGTCACATTTTAAGTCCTTTGAAATCTTGTGGATTAGAACGTGCCGTTTTAAATAGTCTTTATGACTTGTTGCGTACTCACAATGGGCACACTTATAATTCTGAGCAACATCGTGCACTAAAATGTGTCGGCCGAGTTGTTGTTTCCTATTCGTTGCATAATCACAGTACGTACACATAAATTTATTAGCAACTTTGTGCACTAAAAGGTGCTGTTTTAAAAGATATTTAAAGTTTGATGTGTATTCACAATTGTTACATTTAAAATGTGTGGGCATTTTGTGTGTCAATAGGTGTTTATTAAAACAGAACTTATTATTTGTTGCATAATCACAGTTGTCGCATTTCAAATCTTTGGACACTTTGTGAATCAAGAGGTGTTGCCTTAGATGCCACTTATTACTTGTTGAGTAATCGCAAGTGTCACACTTAAATTGCTTAGCAACGTTGTGCACCAAGAGGTGACGTTTCAAAAGATCTCTACAATTTGTGGAATAATCACAGTTGCTACATTTCAAGTGTTTCGAAAGACTGTGTGTTAAAAGGTGATTTTTAAAATGTGTTTTATTATTCGTCGCGTAACCACAATTGTCACATTTCAAATCTTTTGATGCTTTGTGTCTTAATACGTGTTGCTTGAAATTGCGTTTGCTATTGGTTGCGTAATCACAATGATCACATTTTAAATCTTTGAGCACACTATGCATCGATATGTGTTCTTTGTAACTCGTTTTGTCGTTTGTTGCGTAACTACAATGGGTACATCTGAAATCTTTCGATATTCGGTGTACTAAAAGGTGTCGTTTAAAATGACGTTTGTTATTAGTTAAATAGAAACATATGTCACATTTTAAGTTTTCCGATTCGTTGTGTCTTGCCAAGTGCTGCTCAAAATGGGACTTATTGTTTGTAGCGTATTTGCAACTATTACATTTAAAATCCTTGTGGATTAAAACATGTTTTTTAAAACGTCTTTTGTCATTTGTTGCATAATCACAATTGTTACATTTCAAATCTGTCAAAGTGTCCCCGCAATAATGGTTTCGTGGCGACACAAATTTGGAGTAACATGCACTTGTGGGAACCTCCTTGTGTTCTTCCTTTACAGTTGTGGAATAATCGTTACTTACAAAAATGTTTCTCTCAAAGGATGAATTAAGGTGTTCATCTTCTTGTTTCAGTTCCACTTTTAGGATTGGTTTGATATCCACCGACATTTCTAACTGCAATATTTTAAGTGGGAAAAGACCACACGTTTTCCATTTACTTACTCCTGGTGATTTGTATGATTTTAACTTTAAATAAAGCAGCTGGTACCTGCCAATATGGTACCTGCACCCTTTCCTATCTTTTTTCATATTCATGAAGTTAGCAACGAACCTTTAGTAGTTATAAAACGTATGCGTATAACCATATATACATATTATATATATGCGTATAACCAAAGCTGATCCCTCGAAAGATGGTGGCAAGCTAGCAACGAAAATCGCACATTTGTAGCAGGAAGCGATGCGAAGGTACGAAACCAATCACATGACAGCCGTTTCAAGAAGATCCATTTGAAATATTTGATTAAATTTGCATTACTATCGAATCGATCAATAATTAAATCATCTATTATTATTAGCCAGGTTGCGGACAGCATTTTCCGTTATGTTAGACGGCCATTTTTCCTTATAATATAAGTTTATAAGTATAAAACATTTTTATAGCAAAGTTAAGTTGCGGTGTGTGCTGGGCGTGTTCAATTTTGCTTATAAGTTTGAAGGAGTCTTAACCTCACTTTTATTTTACATTGTGTTAAAATGTCCAAAGTTGGTGAAAATGAACTCCTTTTTTTAGAAGTTGATGGCATTGAAAGTATCCTTATTTATAAATCCTTCCTTCCTACTATGCTCTTAGACAAAAAGAAAAGAACTACCGCCAACATAAACACTGCACAATTGTAGGTTAGCAGGAAAATGTTATTTTTATGAGTGATTACGTACTGCGCAGTGACACATTATAAGAACTTCATTTTCATTGGTTCCGCTATTTATAAATATATCGTACAAAAAGCCCTCATACCGTAAATTATTTCTACAAAAATTTATATTTCTTATGTTATAAGAAAAAATGGCCGTCTAACATAACGGAAAATGCTGTCCGCAACCTGGCTATTAACGCACGCACTTTAATCATAGACGTATGAAAGTTTTCTCACGTCTATGACTTTAACAAAACGATTTTCCAAGAAAAAGAGTAGGTAGTCATAGTCACAAACAAATGAAACACCGTTTCAGATAGATTAGTTTGTTTGCTATATTATGGCTATATTGAATTATAGTATAGTATGAATCGTATCTGGATATGCAAACAAACACATTGCAAATGGGTTGCCTAAAAAAATATGTCAAGGCTATATCCTTAATTAAAATTGATGTAATTATTCTTTCTATTTGTTTTTATCATATGATGGAGAGAGCGCGACTCTCTTACAAGTTACTTGTAATATTTAGAATTATTTACAAAGTTGAAGGGAAAAAATTCCTCTTTAAAACTTATTTTTGATTAATTAAACCATGTAGTAGAAAGGGGAGGGGGGCCACCAAAGGTATCATAACTTTAGGTTCTAATGTTCGAAAATTCGTCTCTGGTGGTCGAACATGATATTGAATTACCTTGATTACTCGGATAATTGAGAAATAATAGTTAAGTGTCGTGTGGTATGTGTAATAACACTAATGGTCGCAATTTACTCGTAAATAATACGTACGCGTAATTTGAAGACGCGCCACTTTCCGCGTAATGATAAAGCATTAAACTTTCATGTGTAGTTCGATTCGTAATAAATTGATTGCCTGCTATTATAGACAGCCTTGACATTTTATTGTTTCCTAATGCTCCATAATTAATATTTATACAGTAGGGATGTCTACGTACACGCTAACTTGACCGTGGTGGACTTTTACATTATTTGGTCACATTCAAATTTGGATTTGTTGCGATGAGCTAATGACTTTTTCTCTAACATTTCCCCATAGCTAAATGAGTTTGGAAACGCAATGACGTTGAAAGCTAAATAACTGCAAACGCTCGTCGAAGAATTTGGATTTTTGTGTCGCAAATTCGCACAAAAAGGAATAGTCGAATAATTTAAACAATTCGGATAGTCGAATGCTGACATTATCACACATTTTTTATTGCAAGCTATTGTCAAATTCATTAAATTCTGTAAATGTGAGTTTTGTCAATGAAAAAGGTGCGATTAATTGCGTGTTGCCTGTCCATCCAAATCGCGCTTGTGTCGTTTCGGAACATCTTTCGGGAAACCTGAATTTTTTACATTTATCTTATCAGTTGATTATAGTCTGTATTAAAAATGTGCTACTGCTAAAATTTCGGTAGGGTCGGATCACAAAAAAGAAAGTTACTTCTGCGCATGCGCGCACGTAACTTCTTAATGGATTGAGTTGTATTTTGTAAAGGACGCTACTGTTAAAATTATTTTATTTTATTTTGCCTTTATTTTTGAGTGAGCGGGGTTTCAGCCAAGGCTGCTCTACCAACCCAACCCACTATACATTTACAAATAAATATCCATGTCCGAACCCGGAATCGAACCAGGGACCCTTAGCACCACAGTCCAGCTTTAACTGATTACACTAAGATATGCCCGTAAAAATGTACGCAATTTGTCCTATTAAGTTTTGAGTGATCGTACTGACAAGCCGGACAACAACAACAACTACAACGGACTTTGTTCTGGGTCTGTGATGAGAACAATACTTTACCTACCCATATACAGAGTGGCCCAACGAAAAGTGTACAGAGGGCTTTTAGGGTATTAAATTTAGAAATTTGGAAAGATCCTCGAACACGTCAATTTTGTATTCGAGGGGGACAACTTTTGGAATATAAATCACGAACCCAAGTCTTCACCCCTCTACGTAGGGAGCTTGACCCCTAAAATTCTAAATGGAATCCTATGGCAAATGGCACATTATTTCAAAGCCAATTTAATCGTGATTACTAATCTGCTTTGCTTTTTAAATTCTAATATTGATTCGTTTCGGAACTGACAGGTTCACGTAAGTTTAACAAACAAATTGAAGCGTCAAAATAAAATTTTAATACAAGGTGACTTAGATCGCATTTGTTTTGATTAAAAAAAAAAACCATTTCAAATGCGTATTTGTCCGAAATGAATCAGTAGAATTTGAAAAGCAAAGCAGATTAGTAATCACGATTAAATTGGCTTTCAAATAATGTGCCATTTGCCATAGGATTCCATTGTAAATTTTAGGGGTTAAGCTCCCTACGTAGAGGGGTAAAGACTTGGGTTCGTAATTTGTATTCCAAAAGTTGTCCCCCTGGAATACAAAATTGACGTGTTCGAGGATTTTTCGAAATTTCTAAATTTAATACCCTAAAAGCCCTCTGTATACTTCTCGTTGGGCCACTCTGTATGTGTGCGGAAAAGTAATGAATGCACGCATAATTTTGCCAAACAGCGCCGAGTTTCATAAAAATTTGAACTTTGGACGGCTCCCTCCAAATATGGGCGGTAATGATCTCACCTGCACCCCTCCCGCTACACCGTTCCCTCTGCACTCATCCCACTACACGCTTGTTGCTGCACTGTTGCACTCTGTTCTCACTACACTCATCCCATGCATACCTCCGCTCTACCCACCCCTCCTGAACTCTTCACCCTGCGCTCTTCCCATGCATTTCTCCCGTTGTACCCATCCCTCTGCACTCTTCCCCTTGCATTCTTCTCCCAGCATCTTTTCCCGGCATTCTTCTCGCTTCACTTTTCCCCTACACTCCTTCCGCTGCACTGCTTCTGCACCGTTCTCGCTACACTCTCCCAGTTGCACTCTTCCTCCTCCACGCTTTCTTCGGCACTCTTCCCCTGTATTCCTCACGCTGTACCCTTTCCTCTCGCACTCTTGCCGCTGCACTTTTCCCCGCTCCAGTCCTTCACTACACTCTTTCCCCTTCACTCTCCGGCGTTTTCGGAAGTTCGTCCGCTTAGTCGATTATATTGGGCCATTATTTTAATAATCATCGACTAATGACTGATGACGATTTGAAAAAATTACAACCCGTGTCATTCATTATTCGTTCTTCTGCCAGGATGTCGATGCCAGGAAGCTCTGTATCTCAGAGTCGAAAATCTTCATGAACCAGGTCCCGTCTACTAGAAGCTCAGTTGGGAGCCACGCCTGAACTGGATGCGACAAAAGAACAAGTACTACGAGAGAATGCGCGTCGCGAATGCGTGCGCACTGAACTATATCTTCAACCAGAAGAAGTAAGAATCCTCGAAGAAGATGAAGAACGTCGGCCGCCATTAGTTGTCCGCGTCCGCGAAGACTCAAGTTCTGAAGCCGATCAGAACACATTTGCCGACGTCATCTCATGGAGTCAACAAATTAATGACGTAACAGCTTGGATAGGAGAAGAGCCAGACATCTTCCAGCATTAAATACATTGGATCCAGAGGCGTAACGAGGGTATAGCGGCCATGGCACGTACCATGGGCGCCAATCAAGGGCGGCGCTAAAAAGCGCTTTTATAGATATGTATATTAAAAGACATTGAGAGTGGGACATTATTATTTATGAGTAACACTTGTATGTTAAATTAAAAAAATAGTCCCCACCCCTTATCGATGTATGTACGGTCGGAGAGGGGCGCAAGATCGGTGTTTGCCATGGGCGCCATTTACCCACGGTACGCCCCTGATTGGATCCCAAAAAGGTGAACTTTTTCCAACCATCATTCAAATCCGAAGATACCTCTTCTGTTACTTGCTCATCCCACGTCCTCCTCAGCAGTAGCCTGGGTAATAGAGTAGCCGGCCATGTAAAACTCACGGGATCCGGGATCGAAGATCTTCTGCGCAATGGCGATATAGCATGGTTCTTCTCGACACTGCACTACACTCAGACGTATCCCAAACGAGGTCTAAAAGACCCCACAGACTTCCAATTTGTTCGTCCGATATACACACCGCGCCGTGCAAATCGAACGAAAAAGTCGGAAGTTTGTGGGACTCATAAAAAATTGGAGTCAGCTGGCTTCCTTTTTGCCCAGTATACTACCACCCTCTCAACTCAACCCTGCCTCAGAAAAAGGGGTGGACATTTTGGAAAACTTTTCGTGCACAAAAATCACATAATTTTTTGTGTGTGCGTGTTAACATTTGGAGTGCGCCTCTGTGAAGGTTGTGGGAAATAAAATTTATGTCGTCGATGACTATCACGCCGCCCTTGGTATTTGAACATTGACCGCAGGATTGGGGCGTGGAGGCGGGAGGGCATAAGAAATTTTTCGAAAAGAAAGCATTTTATCGTAGAAAAAATGAAACCGAAACATGGCGAAATTCCTTCCTATACTGTACTCGGTCAGGGCCGTATTCAAAGAAGGTCTCCCGCGATAATTAACCATCTAATGTTATTGCCAATAGCGTAGCGGTAACGTAATTTCGTAATTTCTATTTTTTTGCTTTACTCGACGTGGCCTACTTTCGTCTACATTTATGTTTTGCGCTGCGAGTGTCGGTTTTATTTCGCGTTTTAATTACGAAACTGACAAAATCTTTTAATTGCCGATGATAATTTGTTTGTTTTGATAAGCGCGATACTTACCGTTTTTTAATTCAAGTGCGCGCAAGTGGGGGACTTTGTGTTTTGATGTCGCTGTCGCGCGTTTCAGTATTAAAGGTTGTGTCGATTACTTCATTTCAATAATTTCCAAACGCATTTTTTTACGATAGCATGTATCGGACGCTAAAGAAATCGCGTCTTCTACTCATCAAAGTCGACGAATTTGAACTTGTAGCGCTAGTGTAACCCGCCGTTTTCCGCGAAGGTGCGGGAAATATGAAAATTTGAAAAAGAATGGTCGCGAAAGGGGACATTATTTCGTCCGAGAACTGTATAGGCAATGGGACCAACTACCCGGCGCCCAAATTTCTGCAGGATTGGTACTTTTTACAGTCGACTGGCGGAAGGCGTCAAGGTTTTCATTTTTTTAGGACAATTCAGGATTCGAGGAGCCAAAGGCTTACATGGTATAAACCCCCATTGACCGTTTTGGTGATTAAGAAGGTCAAGGATGTGTCCGTCTATTCTCCATTTGTTCAACTCGTGGAATGGCTAATAGAGGTAACAATCGATAATTTCATATAGAAGATCACGTTGTTTTCTCGTTGTGTTTTATCTTTCGCCGGATGAGGTCATTCATTTTAGTCAACTTAGACTATTTTTCTGCAGATAAGAGATTTTAGATACAAAACCGCAAAACCAGGCAGTAACCTCAAACTTCTCACCAAGTTAATCAGCAAAATTTACCTCACATTCAAAATTGTATTTACTATTGCTTAGGTACTAGGTAGCAAATCAAAGTTCAAGAGCGATTTAAATAAATAGATCAGAATGCAAAGTAAATATGGAACCGGTTTAATGTATGTATTTATTTACGCGCTATTGCATGTGGGCCAAATCCCCTCCCAACGTGTAAAATATTAGTTTTTACCTTAAGTTTCTAAATACACAAAGCTACCATTTCAAAACTGACTGTAATTTGTAATTGCAAGAACACGCATCCGTTTCGAGGAAATGTCACCTTTCTTAGTTATTGAGATATTGCTTTGAAATTTTAACCAAAGATACTTGTAGTGAAGACAAACATATCGCATACTGTAAACATCAGGGGTGCGCATGCGCAGACCGCTTCTTTCTGATATGGGGAGATATTTTTTTTGAAATTTTAACCACAGATATGCTTCTAAAAAGTGTAAGGGCAAGCATGTCGCATATAAAAATTGCTGTGAAATTCTTCACAAATATTGATAATAATTATTTCGTGACGATACTATGCGCGTAGCATTTAATTAGAAATTGTAAAATAATAATTTCTTCCAACATTTCGGGATGCTATTACAATACAGTAGCATTGTTTAAAAAGTATTTAAACAATGACAATAGGTACATCATAATTAAATTCATTTCATAGGCGTAGACATCGTCGCGTGGTATAATTAGATGTTTTACATAGTCATTCAACTATTGTCTTAAATTTTGAACAGTTCGAATTATTTAAAAAATGCGCATTTGTTTATATTAACATGGTAATAAATGAAAATTTATGTTAATATTTTCATTACATAAAAATTAACTACGTAGAATCTAGAAAATTTCAATCGTGGACAATTTATTGTAATTTATGCCTGTTACATGTCACGTTTATATTTGGAATTTTATTGTTCGCAAAGTTTTTATTATTATTATCATTTTTTTGCAAGGAATAATATGCTTAGACATCGAGTTTTCATGAGTGTTTTGCTTTGTTTATTTTATTATAGGGAAGGACGAATACAAGTATAGAGACTATTAAATAAAGAATTGCAGCTTGCTTTAGAAAAAATTCGCAAATTAAGTACCAAACGTTCAAGGTTTGGTTGATTAACGTTTCGAAAATTGAAAATAAACAAGTTGTAAATCAGCATATGCACGATGAGAGCGCATTTTTGGTAATGCAGATCAGTATTTAATTAGCAAAGTTTAAAATTATCGATCTCACGAGTAATCTAACTCAAAATATACTAGAGCCTGCACATCTACACTATAAACAGAAAACTTTTAGTGAAAATTTCAAGTCTCTAGCAATTGTAATTGCTGAGATCTCAGCCGGACAGCCAGCCAGCCATAACGAATATAATAGCGTATTTTTTCAAAAATGCGCTAATAATTAAGTTGTTATACTGGTAGCGCTATCTAATGGTAAAATTATAGCACTTCCGAAAACCATATCGAAATTATTTTCTTCAATTATCGATCTCGCAAATAATCTAACTCAAAATAGAGTAAAGCCTGCACATCTACACATCATCAGAAAGCTTTTAGTAAAAATTTGAGATCTCAGCCGGACAGCCAGCCAGCCAGCCATAACGAATATAATAGCGTATTTGCACGAAAAATTCAGAGTAGAAAAATTATAAAATTATAAAAATCAAGAAATTCAGAAAATTTAAAAGCTTTGTTCCCGTAGCGATATTAGTACTCTGGTTTATGCCAATCTTTTTACTTTTAATGTTGTTTAAAAAATTACCTCGGTGCCATTTTGGCATATGTGCATACCAATGTGCCAACCTTTTTACTTGTACTTCAGTGAAGTCATTTTCAAAAACCAAACATTACATAACAATTCAAACTTACACAAAAATTCGCGCGATACATTTATAAAGATTAAATTTGTCCAGATTCAAAGAAATCTGAATCTTGCTCAAAATTGACAAAACACCCTATATATTAACAAAATTTCGACATTTGCGGTCATATTCCATTGGAAAAATCCACTAAAAACATTTAAATTGCGAAAATTCAGAGAAATTATTGAGAATAAAATAATAAAATTGGACAATTCAAAAAAAATTCCTCGAAAGTTAGACAAAAATATGATTTCTCCGAGAAAGAAGACTATAAAAATTAGACGTACACAAAAATTTAGAAGAATCGGAAGAAGAAAAAGAAAGATCAAAAATTCAAAAAATATTTATAAAATTGTACTTTTGACGTATGTCCGTGTTCTCTTCACACAGAAATGTCAGATATTACTGCCGGGAGATAAGAAAATTGCTAATTCCAAACTGTTCTCTTAACATGATTTGAATGGGTTCCTTAAAAAAATAACAAAAAATTTGAAATGTTAAAAAATAAAAAAAATTAGAAAATTCATGAAATTCAGTGAAACTTGTGTCCTCGTAGCGATGTAATTGTTTATGGTGACCTTTTTACCCTTAAATGTTTTAATTAATCCATTTTCAAAAACCAAAAATTAAAAAGTATTCATAAAATGGTCTCCAACTTAGATGAGGAGATTAGAAATTAGTTATACATTATAGGCTCTAAATGAATTCATTTCCAATAACAAAAATCATATTTCATCGAAGATTGATCAACATTGAAATTAATGACGAATGGAGATTATTTCAAAAATATAAAAATGAAAAAAGGCTGAACACTCATTGGAAGATCAGAATTTAAAAAATCTCAAAATTAGAAAAATTAAAAGGGCACAAAAATTTAAAAAAATCAGACAAATTCGATTAATTTCTTTGAGGGAAAATCATCTATAAAGTCCGGCTTCAATAAAAATCTGTAAAAATTTACAAAAATTTCAGAGAAGCTACACAATTAATAAAATACGCAAGTTCAGAATTATTCAAAAAATGTAAAAAACACGCAAAATTGTAAGAAATTTAAAATTTAAAAACGGTTCTTAAATTTCAATTCAAACAATAAAATGCAAAAATATTGATGTTCCCCTAGTCACTATTTGGGGATAATCGCCAGACAAGATTAATAGAATTGTTTATAAAAAATTCAAAAATGCTTAAAAAATAATAAATCAAAAATGAAAAGAATTATTAAATACAAAAATTGATTTCTTCCACGATGGATAAACTATTTAAATCTATAGAAATTTTGGTAAAAGTACATTCAAAGAATTTTAAGAAAAAAAGAAGTTAAAGAAAAATTAATACAATCGCAATAATTCGAAAATCCCTTGCAGTACAACAAATTCTAACCATTTTAAAAAACGGGAACAAATCCATTACCTACAATTACAAAATTTTGGAATAGATTCACAAGACCAGTAAATTTAGAGCGGTTCTTTGCGCACGCATTTTCAAAAATGAAAAATTCAAAAAATGACTACAAACATTTCAAAATTGGATCAAAATTCGTAGCGGTTGAAACAAAATTTGAAAACGTTTTTTAAAATAAATCTGGTCCCGTAAAATAAATATTTCTTTGTTACAGGAAAAGCAAATGGTTGTGTATGTGGAGACCTCAGTTGTCGGTGACGCCTATCTGGACCAGTTTCCCAGTTTCATTAACATAAAAGACAAACTGATGACCTTCAGAGATGGAAGAGACGATCTCACAAACAAAATAGACTTCATAATTTGTATAGGAGGTGACGGTACCCTCCTCTACGCTAGTCTTCTATTTCAACAGTCGGTGCCGCCGGTCATGGCGTTTCACTTGGGATCTCTTGGTTTTCTGACCCCGTTCCGTTTCGACAACTTTCAAGATCAGATCAACAACGTACTGGAAGGAAACGCGGCGCTCACCTTGCGTAGCCGACTGAGATGCGTTATCGCCAGGAAGGGCAAGTTGGAAGAGTCGAACAACAATGGTCAAGGTAGAAGAGGATCGACCAGTCTCTTGGTGTTGAACGAAGTTGTTGTGGACCGAGGCTCTTCGCCGTACCTGTCAAACATTGATCTATTCCTCGACGGAAAACAGATCACTAGTGTTCAGGGCGATGGGCTAATTATGAGCACGCCGACGGGTAGTACGGCTTACGCCGTCGCGGCGGGCGCGTCGATGATTCACCCAAGCGTACCTGCGATTATGGTCACACCGATCTGCCCGCACTCGCTTAGTTTTAGGCCGATTGTGGTACCGGCCGGCGTCGAACTTAAGGTTGGTATCACCTTGTAAAGTTCAAATTCTAAGACTATTGCAGGTGTCTGTATCGCCCGACAGTCGCAATACCGCTTGGGTTTCGTTTGACGGTAGAAACAGACAAGAACTCTTACATGGTGATAGGTAATACCTCTGATTTTTTTTGCTAATGCGAGAGAATTTTGATTTGTGAAGCTTCTCTGGCTGGGTGATTAGTAGATGATGATCAAATGATGCGGGTGAACTAGCGAAAACGCCCATATTTAGAGCCTTCAGTAGTTTTGGAGAAGAGAAAGATAGATTTAGTCTGATCGGGGGTGCGGTATCTACTTCCCTCCGCGCTATCAGTTGACCTCTATCATAGAGGATTGTATTTCCTGTATGCCTCTAGACAAAATTCCCCGTTTTTCCCACCGTCCTTTAGATTCAGGAAATTTCACAACAGTTATCTTTTGCAGTTTGCGCGTCACCACATCGATATATCCAGTTCCTAGCATTTGCGCTCAAGACCAAATATCGGATTGGTTCGAGTCGTTGGCCGACTGTCTGCATTGGAACGTTCGGAAGCGCCAGAAGCCCACGGACGAACTGACAGACTTGACACATTCCAGTTCTCTGGACTCGTTGGAGCAGAACGAATTGTTGGAAAACGGCAGTTAAGACACACTACATACTTTTTTTTTCATTTTTGTTGTCATTGACTGTACATCGGAAGACATTCCTATACCTAATCTCAGACGAAATAAATCTACGACAATAGCGGGTGCCAATGTTATTTATATTCAAATTTTTCTACGTATTTTTTTGTAAAAATAGAAAGTTTAAAATGTGTTACAATTAAATATTTTAAATAAAACAAGCTTTATAAGAATCTCGATGAACATAACCCATAGTACATTTTCTTGACTCATGACTGTACTCGTTCTTACACTGTATATAACGTATCTCTTTGGTATAAATTAGTTTGAAAAAAATAAGTTGTTTGCGCTTTAAAAAACGATACTACTGCGATTTTCGTATCTTCAATTCGTCATTCGAGGCAGTCGTTGGTCTCCTTCGGTGGCAGGATCGCCGTGTGATCAGATTGATTGTTTCATGCTAACAGTCGACTACCTACTAATTGTTGACAACCGCAGAAAAAAACACTTCCGTTTGATTGTGTAAGTAATAAATAGAATGCAAGGTAGAGGTTTGTTAACCTTTGAACATCATTGCATGTACCTATTTATTTAGGGTTAAAATTTTATGTGCTTGCTGAAGGCTGAAGAACTTGTTGAATATAGTCAATCAAGGTACACAAATATTTAATGTACAATCAAAATGTCAACCCTCTTAGTAGGTTATTTCTATGAATAACGAGCTTTCTTAAAAAATTGCAATTTCAGTACTGCGAAGGGTGAAATTTGTATAGATATGTACCTATATGTCGTAGTCTTTTAATGAAATTATCGTCATTTCACGAAAACGCCTAGTCATTTATATGAAACTGTGGCACAGTGTACTGTTGTCTGTTCAGGGCCAAGCGATTGGATTCCCTTCTCATTCGAGATCGATAAATGGTATCCCCTATCGATCTAGAAGGGGAGGGGAAACTACCCCACACGTACAAATTTTCAGTGTTTCACTAAATGACTAGGCCTCGGACTAGGCTTTTCGTGAAATGACAGATTTCACTAAAAGACTACGACATAGGTATACAATTCTATGATAGAATCCAAAAAAATCATAAAATTCTGTTAATTATGAATAGAGAATGAAATGAATAGAGATATGAAAGTTTGCGTGGGTGGCGGTTTTTCAAAAATTTGGGCAATGGGCGTACCAGGTTTCTCATGGCTTATCTTTGTTCTGTTTTGACAAGTGTAATTACGGATAGTAATCATTTTATTCTTTCTTGCACCAACCATCAACATTTAAACTTCGTCACAATTTGTTATTATTTATATTTTGCATTAGGTTTTAATATTTGTTAATTGAAGCATGGCCTATTCTAAGCAGTGTTTCACATTGCTATGTAAACCTCAAGCGTGCCCTTTAAGCTGAAACTGACTTTATTAACGATCCTAGAGATCGTTTATAATTTTGTATTGCTGTCTGTCGTCTGTCTGTTGGTCTGTCCGTCTGTTCCTTTGTCTGTCTGTCCCTCTATCTGTCCGTGTGAACGATAATTTTGTTTAGAAATGTCCGATCGCTTTTAGATCTCTGTTAGTTATGAACTGAATTGCATAAAATTCAATATGGGCATAGCTTTAGCCATATAATACGCAATGCCAAAAGTTGAGTCGAATCGATTTAAAATTCACAGTGCCCTTTTCGCATCTCGACCATTTATAAACCGAATTGCAAACTTTTTTTATTTATAAAAGTATTTGAATGAAATTTGATACATAGGCACTTGGAATAAATGAAAATCTAACGCCAGTTTCAAAATTTAGTTTTGCGCATGCGCAGTGCCAACTTTTTTATCTATGAAAGCAGTGAAATGAAATTTGATACATAGGTGCTTGGAATAAAGGGAAATCTAACGCCAGTTTCAAAATTTAATTTTGCGCATGCGCAGTGCCAACTTTTTTATCTATGGAAGCATTTAAATGAAATTTGATACATAGGCGCTTGGAACAAAGGAAAATCTAACGTTAGTTTCAAAATTTAGATTTGCGCATGCGCAGTTCCAACTTTCTTATTTAGAAAAGCATTGAAATGAAATTCTTCACACTTGCTCCACACGTCAAATTGTTAGCGTTTCACGAAACGACTAGGCAGTTTAATTATTGAAAAGCGACCGGCAGATTGTAAAATACGAGCACTATAATGCATGCATTTTACTATCTGCCCGCGTTTTATTAAAATGACCAATTATACAAAATGCCTACGATATACCTATATACTGCAGACCTTGTTTAAGAGTCTTCTTTACCTAAGCGAAACTTTTTAGCGCATTTTCGAACGAAATTGGGTGCGCTATTGCAGCCACTTTTTCTTTCCGTCCATCTGTCCGCGGCCTTAACTACTCCTACAGTTTTCAATATATTTAGGTCGTTCTTTTTGCATTCGGTAGCGCTTGAGCCAAGGAAAATGTTGACAATTAAACTGCGCATGCGCAGACGGCGCAATGTCAAATTCCTTATTTTTCATATATTTTGTTGAAATTTTAACCACAGATGGTGAAGGCAAATATACATATATATCGCATACTTATAGTAAAAATCAATTGTGCGCATTGCGCAATGGCAACTTTCTTATTTAAGAAGGTATTTCTTTGAAATTTTAACCAAAATTGCTTTTAGTGTAAGCAAACGTATCGCATATTGTAAACATTAGATTAATGCGCAGGATGCGCAATATCAACTGTTATTTATCGAGATATCTTTTTGAAATTTTAATCACAGATGCTTCTGTTAAAGGCAAACATAACTAATATTGCATAAATTAAATGTGCACATGCGCAAACTGCGCAACGCCAACTTTTTTGTTTATGGAGATATTTCTTTGAAATTTTTTTTAACCATATATGCCTCTAGTAAAGAAAATCACAGCGCACATAGCTATGGCCTTTTCGGAAGTACTGATCATTCATGGAAAATGCGCTGAAGTTACTCGCCTTAGGGCACGGTGTAAGATATTGTAATGTTACTCTCTTTAATTACTTTCTTCTGCTAGAGAATATTTTGTTCAAACACATCAACTCAGTTGATGGTGTTTCAAGACACTATTGATCAATTTCTGAACACTAAACAAAGCAAAACACTTGAATTTCCTTCTAAAACGCACTCCGAAGATGTAATGGCAAAACTGATTTTATTTTTCATCACAATGAAAGTGAAACAGTATCATCGAAGAGAATCCCAGACAAAAACAAAATCGGTTTCAAATAAAAAGGAGTCAAGGTTACAACTTAACATCAAAATAAAACAAATGAACGTGTACGTTTCTTATTAAACCTTGAAGACAAAACGAAATTAGCATTAAAATGGGTTTCATTGTAATGAATGTTCAAAATGTTAACCATTGCAAGGTAGTGGCATAACCTATCACAAAAAATAAAAATTAATTTCTTCTACACGAGTGCTGTGTTATGTCATTGAAAAGAGAAAAAAATCTCTATCAAACGAGCCTAATGAAAGTGTGCATTGCTACTTTCAAAAAATTATTTTTCGTTACTCATTTGTTTTCTGAAATAAAAACAATTGTATGCTACCTTATTGTGGGAAATAAAATGTTAAACAACTTTCATATAGAAAAATCTTTACCGAGATAATCTCTATTATGTACGGGATATAGTATTTACTATATCCCATATACATAATGGGCACCCTGTATATTTATATATTAAAATATTATTATATTATTTTCATTCAACCAAAACTTATACCTATTCTTTCACGAGAGTAAGGCTGTGCGAGGCTTTTTTCAGCGCGAGGCCTAGAGCGGCCGCTCTACTCGCTCCACCCTAAGGACGGCACTGCCTAAATGAATTTGAAACCTTTTAAAATATTTATTGTATGTTCGTCACAATTTTAGAATGGGATATTTTAATGTGTTTTTTTAATGTGTCGGTTTGTTTTAATATGTTATACATTATGTAATTTTTTTTTAAATTTTATTTATTAAGTCTTACGGGAGAGGCCCCAAAAAATTAAAGTTTTGTGTACAATTCACATATACAAAAGATAATTATGCTTAAATTACTGGAAAAAGGAAATTAAAAATAAATACAGTGAGCAGTAATAAACTATCTAAACTATGGTAGTATGATTTGTCGACATCAGTAGCAACTTAAGATTATGTTTAAGTTCAGATAAACTAACACCTATTACTTCAATTTGCGGATAGGAGTTTGAGAAAAGCATCATTCTTATAATAGGGGAGTGTTGTAAATATAACGTTTTATACAGTTTTATGCTAAACGATTGACTAAACCTAAGTGATCTTCCAGGAACATTAAATGTTATTAATTCCACCAAATATGACGAGTCAATACAACCATTTAGAAGTTTATAAAAAAAGACAAAATCGAGAAACTGACGACGAGCAAGCAAAGTATTAATGCTTAATACCTTAAGAACGGAGAGGTAAGAATGGTATGCAAATGAATTCAGACGTAACCTAAACCTGAAGAAACGAAGAAATTTGTGCTGCACCCTTTCGAGTTTTGAAATAGGAGTGGAATAATAGGGAGACCAAACTTGGGAACAATATTCGAGAGAGGAACGAACAAGAGTCAGGTACATTAATTTAAGGATAAAGGGATTGCGAAAGTTTTTTGATAAGCGCAGCATAAATCCAAGTTGTTTCAGTGCTTTATTACAAATAAAATCAATGTGTTTCTGATACGAAAGATCAGAAGAGAAAATAACTCCGAGATCAGTAACGCTAGATTTTCTTTCAAGCGTACAATTATTTATGGTATATGTAAATTGAATAGGATTTACAGTACGATGGAAAGTTATACTAAAGCTTTTAGTGAGGTTAAGTTCCATCTGATTTGTTTCACACCAAAGGCTGAGTGCGTTGATATCCAATTGCAGATTGATACAGTCGTTGATTGATTTTATTGGGCTAAATGTTTTTATATCATCCGCGAACAATAATATTTTGGACGATTTAAACAGTGATTTGATATCATTTATAAATATTAAGAATAATAGTGGAGCTAAATGTGCACCTTGAGGAACACCAGATGAGACATAAATTGGTTTAGATATGAAGTTTTTATATTTCACCATTTGAATTCTGTTTGTTAGATAAGAACGTAGCCATGACAATATTGGATCACATAAACCAACGAGAAAAAGATAATAGATAACAAGATATTATGGTTTACTCTATCAAATGCCTTAGAAAAGTCAAAATATACGGAATCTAATTGCGTATTTTCATCAAAACAACTAAGAATGTAATGCTGATAAGTTAAAAGGTTGGTGTTTGTGGAACGACTAGGGAAAAAACCATGTTGTTCGTCAATTATAGTGCTTTTAAGTAATGGAAATAAAGTATTTGTTATAATACCTTCGAACAATTTTGCTATTACTGACATAATCGATATAGCCCTATAATTGGACATATCCGCTTTATTTAATTTTAGTATTTGTGCTAAGTATATTGTTTGTATGTATTAGGGACATGGTGTTGCCACCTACTATAAGGTAAAGCAACAACGTATAAATAAATGAAATGAAATGAAACCATGATTCCCAAACTAATCCACATTGGCACCACATTTACAGATATGCGCAGTACAAACTGTAACACCTAAGCGTAAAGCAACACTTATTTGCAAAACAGAATCTTCAAGATGTGTGGAGATTTGCCTTGCAGGAAGAGCTTGTAACCAAGCTCCTGAGAGTCTTTTTCTTTCAGTGCTAACAGCATTGCTTGGTGTACTGGATCATTGACGACTTTATTGAACAATTGATCGAATAACTTTTCAACCAAAGGAGTGTCCCAAGATTTTTGAATGTAACGAGTTTCTTCAACAGGTTCTTCAGCAAGTACCTACTATCTTCCATTGGTGAATTGTATCAGAAATCCATTCTGCATCATTGAAATCAATAATCTGAGAAACGACAGGAAGCACGAAAAAGATCGAAGCCAAATAGACTTTTTCCTAAATGAATCCTCTTTGCGATTGAAAAATTCTGTCACATTCATTACATTTATAACTTTGAAAAGCACTGGTGTCAAACAAAAAATTGTCTTCTTTGTCCAAATAATTGTTTTTAGAAGGCGCATCAAGCAAATCTTGCTTGGGAACAGATATTGAAGTTCTTAATTGAGGATGTAGTAGATGGATATGTATATTTTCTTGTAAATCGAACTTTTTCTTCAGAAGAATAAACAGTGTCAGTATCTGACATTACACATAAAGTATTCCCGAATAGGTACATGTCGATTTAAGTGGGCTGGGTGTTCGTAATTTCACGATTGCCATGGAAATGTCACTTGACGTTTGCTTATAAAAATCATCGTCTTTGTGAATAAAACGATTATTTCATACTGTCCGGTAGATGTTGGATTACACTATCATTTTGAGTCCGGTAGGTGAGTTATTACAGCATCAGAGCCGGTAAGTGTCGCTAAGCAACACTTACCGGACTGTTATTTGTATACATCAAATTTGGCATCTTCACACAATTAATTAAAAACCCCAACATAAATTTGGCTGATGTAATTCTTTATTTCAAACATTAACATTGATTGTAATGAAACAATTTGTATTACCCTCAACACTAACGCCTGGGTTATTACTGGATGTCGAGTTAGTAATGTTTGATTCCTTCTGCTGTAGAACTTCAATGAAATTTTCACGGCCTTGCATCAGTTGTATCATACAGGCAATCTTAACTTTTCCTTCTACCGAGTCTTTGATGTATTTTTCTGCCGTCGATGAGCTTTTCCATGCCCCATGACGCTTTAACACCGAAACCCAGGCAAAAAAATCTCAATTCAAAAACTTACTGCATCCAAACAGTATGCCAACATGACGTTTTCCTCTACTTGTTTCGCCCCATGTTCGTTCCTTAATTGGCAAAACACTTAGTACTCTTTTTTATACCTTGCGGCCGACTTCTTAGGAACCAACTTTTCGGTTGCTTCATGAGATTTCAACAGGATTGTATCGGGAACAGTGGAACATCCCACAACGTTTATAGCGTCCATTTTTCCGTGAAAAAAATTTAATGTCAACAAACTACAAACTATAGCAACGGCCGTTGCCACAGAAACAAGGTAATGCGATTTTTACAATATAATGAAATTTTGTAATCTTTGAAATGAAATAATGACACAAAACAGACTTACAGTATGAAATAAAATACGTTACGATATACGTCCGGTAGTACTTGTAACAGTACTCGTTTAAGACATTCTTGACTCGGCTCCTGACGTCGCCTCGTCCATAATGTCTAACTCGTACTGTTACAAGTAACCTACCGGACTTATAACGTAAATAACTATTTCCGTTGAAAATAGTATATTATATACCGCGGGACTGAAGTAGTACTTTTAATCCCGAAGGTAAAGTTTATGGCCCGACCGAAGGGAGGGCCATAATTTACCTGAGGGATTAAGACCACTACTTCAGTCGCAAGGTATATACGATATTTTTCGTACTTCCGAAACTGAAACACTTAATATGTATGGAGTTAGAGAACGCGTTCTTTCAAAAAATCGCTGCTTAACAAGTTACCATAGGAACGTTGCGTTGGTACGACAATCCCTATGCTATGGTAACAAAAATAATTTGGAAACTGTCATTGCTAGTGTCATAATTTTGGTGGTGGGTGACAAAGGTGTATTTGATATTCATAAAAAGCAGCCAAAGTAGGTAAAAAATTGATACCACGGAAATCTAAAAAACTATATGAGCAACAGTACGATGCGTTTAAGAAGTAGTGCCGCGTACAAAATGTGGAACAACCTACTGAAATTGCCTTGTTAGTAATTTCATCCTTCCGGGATTTTCGTCCACATTTAATCCCGGCGGGACAAAAAGTGACACCTTAGTACTTGTCATAATGGAGTGAAGTTGTCACTTTAGTCTCGGAAGTACGAAAAGATAATACACCGTCCATTAAATCGCTTGTTGTAAAATCTAAACAAACGTTGGTAGGTGTAAAATCCCAATCCAGTAAAGCCTATTGTAAAGAATATGAAAAGTTGTTTCCATGGATGAATAGGATCTTACTTACGAATAAAGTCTTAAATGCATCGCGATAATGCTGGAATATATGAAGGAAATGTCAAAGGTATTTAAATCTTCTATCTTTTGGTGCATTCATTCAAAACTTCAAACAATGCTGCGATTAAAAAGTGGAACAGATTTGGAAGCATTCCCTAAATTACGCGCGTTTGTGAAAGTTTCAACGAAAGGATAGGTACAAGCCAAAGAAATGTTCTGTATTTACAGAAAGCGACCTAAGAGGATTTTTTATTTCACCCAGATGACAGTTTCAAGTCATACTTGAAGTATCGTGACTTAGCTACTTTAAAGCACGTGTGTTTTAAAGGCCTTTTTTCGCACGCATTTGAGTGTTTAAAACGGAGATTCAGGTATAATAAAAAAACACTATTTTTATTCAATGGTATTATTTTAATACCGCCTACTTTGTTTACAGAAAATGTAGTCGCTCGGTTAGCGTTTAATAATAAATAATGTTTGTGTTATTACCACATGCCAATACGTACATAGTGTTTCATTTGTGGGTAAATTGTGGCCTCTATTACATTCATATATTTTAAAAATTCCTACACACCCGCACGGTTAATAGTTATTTACATTATTAGTGCGGGAACAGTTATTTTTCAGATGAGCGCGAAGTTTGGCGGCGCGAGTGCGCAACGCGCACGAGCGACGCATCTCGCGCGAATCAAGCAAATACTGTTCACGCATGTAACATGCATTCTATTTTTTGCACGGATTAGTTAAATCGAATTTATATAAATTCAAATCCTTTTCGCGAGATTTTTGCGACATTATAATTCTTTTGAAAAAATCAAGTCCTCTATGCCGATAAAGTAGAAATCTCGAAATTTAAAATGTCAATTTATTGTTCAAAACTTCTGGTTTAAGCTTATTTTTGCCCCTGTACAACAGGGAATGATGTAATGTGTTTTTATATTTTCTTTTTTACTCTTCCATCGTACTACTTATTAGTTTATGATCCGGACTAATTAGATAATTTCGTTGAATTTTTAGGCACTAGTGCGCGAAAGTAGATAGTCAATTGTAAAATTGACGTTCCCGACTTTCGTGTTTTATTGGGAAAACGCGATTTAGAACGAAGGAGTGCAAAAATGCATTTACATTATACCTTTGTTTTATACCAAAGTTATACACTCTTTGTTTATACGTACGTTACACGGCAAGCCTTCCGTTTTGCGCCCGAGTCTGCCGTCTCTGTCTTACACCTCGCGTTAGTAAATCCGAGACGCTTTCCACCGCCCATTGCCTCACCTACATATCTACACAGTGCTTTAGGGCGAAAACCTTTTTACTTGTTTACATTATAGTGTATAGATGATTATAGATGCAAGAGACAAGATGATATTCTTGCTTTGTCAACTCCTGTCTTGATCCTTAGTTAGTTCGCACCGACACTGTGCAGTGGCGCCACTTGCTACACTCAAATTGTTGATTTACCGCTCGCCAAGATACAGACTTTATTTACAAAAAATATGATTTCATTTTTTGGAGTAGGTAATGTTTAGAAGTAACTTATCTAGAAAATTGTCGATTTACTTTTTCCATAAATTGTCTTGATCAAGAATAAAAAAATAACAGATTAGCGCAATAATCGGTGCAAAACATCTAATCTTTAAACAATCGGTATTCAGTTGCTACAAAGAACATGTAGAGAAAGGTCTAAATTTATAAAATAGTTATTTTTTTTAAAAACAACTTGGGTTTTTATGGCGGGCGTGCTTATGGAAATTTACATTGCGTGCCTCCCTTTTATTTATTAACGTGCGGGTGGTAAAAAGAAAATAATTCAAACAATTTTATTGATATTGTAACAGAAATAATTGAATTAATTCATGTAGAAGAAACACCATCTTGGATTCAAGATTTGCAGCATGTTCTCAAAAAGCCTGAGCATTTATTGAAGAGGTCAGCGGTGCTGAAACATAACAAATATCAATTTAGGAATGAAATAAGTTTGTATTGCAAATATTGCATAAACACAGGGGAGGTATAGTTAAAATTAACGTTAGTAATTAAGTATCACTATAGGTAGATATTCTTAATAATCACAATGGAAATAACACTTCATTTGCTCAAATCGAAAAATAAAGAATCATTCCCACCTAATTTCTTAAAATGAAATTTCATTGTGCGTTATTCGTTAACTACCGCTAATCGTTCATATAAGGAAATACAAAGGGCGAGCTTACCAACTGAAATATCCACCAGGGCACCCCTCAAACCACGTTTTACAGATACAGCTGTTATCCGGATCGTGTACGCAGATTGCGTATTTATCAGCCATTGACAGGCCAAATAACGTCCATACCAACACAATACAGATGATGGAATTTCTCATGTTGAGCACCTTTCTCACTTTCAACGTAATTCACCGCTATACCTATATATATACACGTCAAAATCATATCATATCACACATGAGATTGGTAGCACTTAAGATAAATTATTTTCGTCTAAAAACAATTCCAAAATTATTTAGGGTCCCATTATTAGTTCTTCCGAAAAATAACTACTCCATATATGCCATCGGAAAGAAAGTTTTGTGACCTGAGTGGGTTGCGAAAATCGTCTCCGAAGCTCAGTCACAGTGTAGGTAATAGAAGAGAAGAATTTGACATCACGTGGGGATTGGCGCACGACAATTACCTTTAGAAGCGGCCAAGGCCAATATTGGTTTGAAATTTGGCATTCGAGTGATTTTCAGTTCAATAGGGGTTAGGGCGGATTGGGGAAGAGACACTATGTTTACCAACTTATGGTCCTTAAACGTCCAAAATTTACCATGTACCTATCCCATCGACATGGTTATAGTTCCTTCTCCAAATGGGGAAGCTAATTTGGATATAGTTCAGGATCTCTCTCCTATAGAATATGATTGAAAATTCTTAAAGTTGATTACAAAAAGTACACGGCATGTTTCGGAACTAGGCCCAGTTCCATTTTCAAGTGTAGGTATAAAATTAATAAATTCAATACATGCACAAAAATCCAGACACGTGAGATAACAAATTTTATACCTACCCTACCTCAGTATGGCTGTTTGACTCTTATATGAATTTTTAAACGCTTATTTAAGGGTTGATTGCACCCCGTGAATCCCATCGATCAGACTCTATATTTTTGTTTCGCGTTGGAGTAATTTTATAGATATACCTAAGCAATAATAAGTCCAAATGTGCTATTTTGATACAGAATGAATTTTAAATGCTTTAGGGGTGTGATTGCGATACGAGAATAATAATCTAGAATCTTGCTGCCGACGAGGACGCCAAAAACTTAAAAAGTATTAAGAGTGGCAATATTTAATAAGAAGGAAGCTATTATATATGTAATCGATTGCTGCATAAAACAAGTACTAAGGTTTTAGGTTATCGCCCTAAGGGGATATATATAGGTATAGCAACTTCAACGCATTTATCAATAGGCCATAACTATGTGTGCTATGTTACTTCACAGAAGCATCTATGGTTGAAATTTCAAAGAAATATCTCCATAAATAAGAAAGTGGGCGTTGGGCAGTTCGCGCATGCGCACACTTAATTTATGTTATATGATCGACATGTTGTATGATCATTTAATCATATCATCGAAGGTGTATATACAATGATAATCAGCCCTAGTGATCTACCAGAATTAAACGTTCTTAACGCAAAGGTTATCTGCCAAAAACGTCATTTTGCCTACACTAAATAACGTAAAATCACCCATTAGTAGGCGGGGGACACTTTGTTACTCAACCTCAATCTTCGCATGAGTACCTATAACTTTTGTCCGACAAGTGATTTAAAAAAAACTGTTCGACAATTTTATTCCATTACTCATCAAGTATGTACACAACGAATTTCGTGGAATTCTCTCCATTTTTGTTGTCCGGCCAAGAATTGCAGTGGATTTTTTTTTTCGAATTTTCAAAAACTAATTTCAGATTCGCCCTATTTAGGGGTGCGCCCTTTCGTGGTACGAATTAAAAAAAATGTACAAAATCGAAAAGGGCATACCCGAAATCCTATTCAAAGACGTGCCACCAATCTTTCTAACTCTTATGGTTGAGAATAGAAGAAATGCAAAATTCACCATTTTTTTAGAAGTGCGACTCTCAAACGAAACATGTTGGACCCGCGGTTTATTTGGATCAAGTGCTTGTTTTAATCCCCAATTGTTTTACATACTTACATATGCATATATGTATGTAAGGCTGTAGTACATGAGGATTGTGTGGTGGGAGGTGCTTATACTACAGGCTCAACTACGTCACAATCGGTAGCGCGGTTTATTGGTTGTTTTGAAAGTGAGGCAACCACAGCGACGTCGGAAGTGAATAACGGTTGGGGGGGGGGGAGCAAAAATCAGCGACCATGGTGTCTGAAAGGTCCCTCTCATGCAAAATTGTGTACGAATTAATGCAAAGCAGTAGGTTTTTTAAGTGACCCTGAAACCTGTTTATTTAATCAATCCATATTTTGGAAGAAAAGTTTTGAAAAAAATTTAAAAAAATGGCGGAGGATGTCTAGTTATATGTAAGTGAGCAACTCAGAGATACTTGACTCGATTGAGAAAACCTTAGCCATAGATCATTAATATTTTATTTAAAAAATAATGAAGAACTAGAACCGAGACTAGAACATACAAAAGTTACAAACATTTTGTTCCTATTTATTGCACTATTGAGCATTGTAAAGAAAAGCATCAAGTATAAAAAATGTGTTAGCCGCTTTTGAGTGATTTATCTACTCATTCTTAGAGGGGGCGCGGCCCCCCTTGTGTAAAAACTGAGGGGGCGAGTCGCCCCCTCTGACCCATACTTCCCACGTCGCTGGGCAACCATTTTGTATATGGACCGAGTGCGCTGCCAGTGCCTCCATCCCAATTCTACAGCAATTCCGCTGTGAAATCCATTATTTCATTTTCATGTTTACTTTATGTCAGAAAATTTTAGTTTGCATGACAGAGACAGACCAGCCGCACCTGTGACATTGCATCGGAAATTAAAGTACTCTGCCCCAAAGAGGCCTCGTACTTCAATATTTCCTAACCAGTAATGCGTCATTTTCCTAACTTTTATGTAAATAACTATTCCTTTACTTTTTTTATGCATATCGCTTGAAGGACTTGCTTGATTTCTGGAAATCAAAAGGCACAACTTTTTTTATAATATTATTAGCTATAATGTCTGAATTTTGCACATTTTCATGAATATAATAATAATAATAATAATTAATAACACCACGTTATCACAACCCACTCGTATCAACCACCAAACGCAAAAGCCAAAGAAACACTTACACAATAAACTCCATTTAATTAAAAATTACATATTATTATAATGATTTTTTTTTGTTTGTTTTTTCTTTCCTGATAGGTGGCTATTGTGCCCATCAATAGGTATGTGCGTAAGTACGAATTACATTATCCCTGATGTCCAATGACGTGTGTGATATATTATTATTATTATTATTATTATTTTTTTTTTTTTTTTTTTTTTTTTTTTTTTTTTTAAGGGCACCCTAACATAACTTCACCAGACACAGACACAGACACTTAATCGTTACTTGATTTAAATCCGTGCCGATTAGTTAACCAGGCTAGACCTAGAGTTTCTCCACAAGAAACACCGACCATAATAATAATAATTACGACACCATACTACACTGAGAGAAATAATATAATCAAAGTGTCTACCTGAAAATATTTTAATTACAATAAATGTCTTTTTATTTGCCTCAATTAGTTATCAATTTATGACAATAATCTCATATACTGTGTTAAGTAAAATCGATTTTCTAGAAGTGGTGGATAAGGGCAATTAGACATATTTGCTAAACGCTTGTAGATTTTCATAGGTAGAATAACAGCAGATAGCGTTTTCGCTGCAGTTATAAAACTGTTGCATTGAATTGGATATTCTTGCTTAATTACGTTTTTGTAACTGCCACAAACGTTTAGTTTAGTTGGCGTTATGAAATACTAATTTATGGCGAGTAAACATCTACTTGTAGCAATCGTCTTCAGAAGCCGTTTTCGTTGGTTTTTTGACGACCATAAAAACTGTAGGTATATAGCAATTTCTTAATATACGCAACATACTCATGCAGGTACATTGTGCTGTGCGGGTGTAAGTTTTATTCGGTTTTATTATACCTAGTGTACCAAGAGCTGAAATTTACGCCATACCTACCCCAAAATGAGCGAATTTAAGTCATTAGGTACTTATTAAATGGGGACTTGATGTATATTTCGACGATTTCTTAGGTAAGTAGAAAGAGCTATATTTTTGCTACTATTGCTGTCTACCGAAATTATTTTTTAAGTTTTTAAGCTACTGAAACCCAGTTGCACCAAAAAAATTAAGCCTTGCTTAAAGTTAAGTCGAACTTAAAATCTATGGCAACGATTATTAAGACAATCGTTGCTATGGTATTTTATTTAAGTTATGCTTAACTTTAAGGAATACTTAATTTTGACGGTGCAATTGGCCCTCACTGATGAAAATTGTTCAAATTTTATGTCGTGATGTGTTCAAGGTGGAACGTACAGACACGACCGAGTATATTATGCTTTCAGATATTGTTTATGTCAATCAGTGCATCATTGTAAATAATGAATATTACATCACAATTTATTAATTGTATCCTAAGTGGCATTTTCGTTTGATTTTCATTTTTTATTGTTAGATAGGTATAGGATTGTTGTTGTTTTTAAGTGTAATATGTACGTTTTTCATTTTTTTCTAATAAATACCATTGTGAATTACGTTATTACTAATTCCAATTGCCCTTAAGGAATAGATTTTTAACACAATTAAACAAGATGTACTGTAGTAAGTCAATTAAAAACCATTCTAATTTACTACGTTTCTACAACACCTCACTTTGCTACCTACAGTTATTTTGCGGTTAAATCTTCCTAAATATATTATATACTTACAACAATTTAGTGTACTATTTAAGGTTATTTAACGTACACTTATTCTAATTAAACTGTTTATTATTCATAATAAATGCCTTTAATTGTCTCTAAAGAAAGTTTATGTCTGTTGCCAGGTTTTCAAATACCTACGGTAATTGATGTAATTACAAATAAAGTTAAAATTTGACTGTAATCAAACAGGTACAGAAAACTCTGTTTAATTATCGTGAATAACAAGTTGTATAGTCACATATAGTATTAAATTTTTTTTATTACTGCTAACAGATTTTTCTCTCAGTGTACAAATACACGCCACAGATCATACTTGAAAACAACACACACAAATTATATTGGGACAGGACACTACTCACAGACAAAACTATCCACAATAATAGACCAGATATTACACTTATAGATAAAACACAAAAATCCATTTGTATTATAGACATTGCCATACCCAACACTAACAACTTAACTAAAACACATGCAGAAAAACACCGCAAATACACCGATATAGCTATCGAGCTTAAGACGCAATGGAGAATGAAATCTACTGTTATAGTTCCCATTATTCTTAGTGCTACCGGAGTTATACCAAAGACAATACACCACAATTTACAACTATTAGGTTTAGACAAAAACACATACAAACATTTACAAAAAGCAGTCATTATCAACACATGCCATATTGTTCGTAAATTTCTAAACATAACACAAGATACTACATACAGAAATGATCCACAACGTATACATGTAAACAACAGTACTCGCTCACAACACGGTACACAACATACTGTAATATCTCAACCTCTAACCCAAACAAACACACAAATACAACTTACCGAGCAAACAAGTACAACAAATGATACAACATATACTACAATCAGAGATTCACCTCTGAAGCAAACCACATTATCACGACCCATTAGTATTCAACCCAAACGCAAAAGCCTAAACAGCACTTTAGACTCACAACATGACACACAACATACTGTAATATCTCCACCCTTAACTCAACCAACCACACAAACACAACTTCCTGAACAAACAAACGCAATAAATACAAGTAACGCAACATGCACTACAAAGACGCCCTCACTCAATAAAGTTACACGGCCTAGCACAGCTAAAAAACACAATACTCTTTCTTCTCAGAAACACACCACGTTATCACAACCCACTCGTACTCAACCCAAACGCAACAACCTTAACAGCACTACAGGCTCACAAAATACTGTAACGTCTCCACCAATAACCCAAGCAACCACACAAATACAACCTCAAGAACAAAGAAACACAAGAAATACAAGTAACGCAACATGCACTACAAAGACAGGTCCACCCAATAAAGTTACACGCCCTAGCACAGTTAAAAAACATAAAACTCATTCTTCACAGAAACACACCACGTTATCACAACCCACTCGTATACAACCCAAACGCAAAAACCTAAACAGCACTACTAGCTCACAAAATACTGTAATATCTCCACGAATAACCCAAGCAACCACACAAATACAACCTCAAGAACAAAGAAACACAATAAATACAAGTAACGCAACATGCACTACAAAAACAGGTCCACCCAATAAAATTACACGTCTTAGCACAGTTAAAAAACACAATACTCCTCTTTCTCAGAAACAACCCACTCGTATTCAACCGAAACGCAACAACCTTAAAAGCACTACAGGCTCACAAAATACTGTAATGTCTCCACCAATAACCCAAGCAACAACACAGATACAACCTCAAGAACAAAGAAACACCATAAATACAAGTAACGCAACATGCACTACAAAGACAGGTCCACCCAATAAAGTTACACGCCCTAGCACAGTTAAAAAACACATAACTCCTTCTTCACAGAAACACACCACGTTATCACAACCCACTCGTACTCAACCCAAACGCAAAAACCTAAACAGCACTTTAGACTCACAACATACTGTAATATCTCCACCCTTAAC